CTAACCCCTCATAAAAATCCAGCCCAAGACTTTGATACCACAATGAGTACTTAAGCTGCTTTTAAAAAGAAATAGCAGGAAAATGTGTGTGTGTATTTGCACACACATGCTTTTAAATTAGAGGTGTCCTGTCTTACTAAGATAATATAATCTTAAAAAACACTATGGGAAAATTAGCAAGAGAAAATTATATAAACATTTTAAAATTTTGTTTGGCAAAAACCTATGTAGTAGCCATGTAAATTGAAAAGCCTCTGATACAGTTCTGTATAGAGAACGCCACCAGATTGATAAGGACCATACGCAGAAGATTTAGCAGGCACCGTCTTGTCAGTAAGAGAAATGTAAGTAGCCAACAAGCATTTAAAAAATTTTACCTTTAATAATTAAAGAAATTCAAATTAAAACAATAATGGGATTATTTCCACTTTAAGGTGTCATGGGTTAGAAACTTTGGTAGTGTTACAAAAATGGGAGGAAGCACGCGCTCATATTTAGGTATGGCATATTGAAGGATGAAAATGTCCATAAAAACTCAGTGCTTTACTCTCACTGACCCAATCAATGTGCCATTGTTAGAAAGTCGCCCTAGAGCAATATGGGCTAAAATTGTAAGATACATAGGTTTCTTTATGTAAAGACGGTTATAAAGAAAATTCTTTAAAAAATAGCAAAATGGAATAAAATTAAAATTCTTTCATCGTGGAATTGATAAGCTAAAAAATATCAATAAAGTAAGACACCTGAGGGCCAGTTCTAAGAGTGAGCAGGTTATATTTCTTGAGGTGAGAAGATGCCTGTGGGTTGGGTAGGGTCTTTGTAGGACAAACGATGATCACTCATTTTTAAGGTCAAAGTGTACACACAGCAGGAGTGGCCCCTGGCAATCTCCTCTATTTCCACAAATTCCTTTTTTGCTTGTAGTTTTATGTGTTACTTTTTCAATTAATAAACTTTATTTTTAGAGAACTTTTAGGTTCACAGCAAAATTTCTTATCAAATACCTTGTTTCCTTGCTCCTCTTTGCCCCATACACACAACTTCCCTCTAGCTGCACCCTGCAGTGCATTTGTCGCAGCTAAGGAACATACAAGGACATGCCCTATCACCCAGAGCCCATGGTGTGCATTCAGGCTCACTCCAGGGGCTGAGCATCCTGTGGGTTTAGAGTGACTGTGACCTGTATCAACCATTACACAGTAGTAGCACACAGCAGTCATTTCTCTGCCCTGAAAATCCTCTGTGCTCTGCCTGGTCTCTCTTCTTTCGCTTCAACCCCCTGCTACCACTGGCCATTTCACTGTCTCTCTGGCTTTACCCTTTCCAGAATGTCATAGAGTAGGAGCTATATACTAAGTAGCCTTTTCAGATTGGTCTCTGGCACTTTCAAATTTAAGATTCTTTCATGTCTTTCTTGTCTTGAGAACTCATTTCTTTGAGGCACTTGATAGTATTCTGTCGTACAGCCGTGCCACTTTGTCTTTCCAGCCACCTGATGGAAGGCATCTTGATTGCACCCAAGTTTTGACAAGTGTGACTAAAGCTGCTACAGACATTGCTGTGCACTTTTATGTGGAAGCACGTTTTCATTTAGCTCATTACAAAGGAGTACAACTGCTGGACTCTGAGTAAGAAACTGCCAAATTGTCTTCCAAAGTGCTTGGAACATTTTGTATCCCCACTATCAACACACAAGAGTTCCTGCGGTTCCACACCCTCACTAGCATTTAGTAATATCAGCGTTTTGGACTTTGGCCCTTCCAATAGTAGTATCTGTGCTAAGATCTCATTATTGTATTATTTTAAAGTACACTAGTGATACACCTTTTATACCTCCTTGGTATCTGTGGATCTTCTTTTATGAGATATCTGTTCAGTACTTTTGCCTATTTGTGTGTGTGTATGAGAGAGAGACAGAGAAATTGAGAGAGTGAGTACTGCTGGAAATTGAACATAGAGCCTTGTGCATAGTAAGAAAACATTCTACTATGGGGCTGCTTATTTTCTATTCTTTGTGTATTTTGAGTAACAGCCCTTTACCAGATTTGTGTTCTATAAATATATTCTTTCAGTCTGTGGCTTACTTTCCTGTTCTCTTGATATTGTCTTTCATGGAGCATGTTTCTAACTTTAACAAAGTCAATTATTTATCTCATGAATCATGTTTGGCATTATATCGAAAAAATCATCTGCAAAGCCATGCATGGTGCTATATATCGGCAGTCCCAGCTACTGGGGAGACTGAGGAAGAAGAAGTACATGAGTGAGCTCATGAGTTCTCGACCAGCCTGCATAGCATGGAAAGCCCTATTAAAATAAATAATAAATAAATAAATAATAAACAAATGAATGCATACCTTCTCCTTGCCAAGGTCAATTAGATTTTCCTCTTCTTTGAGGTTCATAAGTTGGGTGTTTTTATATTAGGTGTTATGATCCACTTTGAGCAAATTTGTGAAGTCTTGGGTCTGGATCTAGAGGCTTCATATATTTTTTATTTTATTTATTTATTTGTGCATGTTTCTGTATGTGCAAGTATGGTGTATGTGTGTATAGTATATGCTGGGAGGGGTGTATATGCACCTGTGTGAACACAGAGGCCAGAGGAGGGGATCAGATGTCCTCTTGTATCACTCTCCACTCTATTCCTTTGAGGCAGGGTTTCTGTCTAGACATGAAACTTGGGTCTTTTGGAAACAAGCAAGTCCCAGCGATTCTCCTGTCTCTGCCCCAGTACTGGGGTACAGAAATATACTAGCTTGCTACATGGATACTGGCTTGACTCAAACTCTGGTCTTCATGCAGGTCCAGCAAAGTGCTTTTAACCACTGAGCCATCTCTTTGGCCCTAGATCCATCTTCTTCCATGTGGATGTCCCACTGTTCTAGCACCTTTTATTGAAAAGACCATCTATGCTCGTGGTACTGCCATAGCTTCTTTGTCAAAGATCGGTTCACTGTATTTGTATAGTATGCCTCAATAAAAGCATGCAAAAAACCCCAGACACGTACATATACACAAAGCTCTCTTCACCATCACCCTGCAGAGATTACAAGGGTCAAACTAGAGCAGGCTACAGTACCCAACATAATGTAGAAAGTTTGGTGGGTAGTAAGTTCATTGAGAGTTTTTTTGGATAGTGAGTTTACTGAGGTTTAGATGTAGGGTATGAGGATTTGGTGGGTAGCGAGTTCATTGAGAGTTGGGTGGCTGATAAGTTTACTGAGGTTTAGATTGTGTGGTAATTTCATTGAAGGTTTGGTGGGTAGTGAGTTCATTGAGGTTAAGGGCATTTATGTACATGAGCCTCAGAAGATATACTCATGTCTGAGCCTAGAGTTCTGGAAAAACAGCAACAAGATGGGAATATAGAACCAGAGAGAGCTACCATTAGCACTTAAGTTTCCTAACTCAAGTAGAAAGGGAGAATTCAGAAGGGATGCAAGACAGAAGGATCGATTTGTGTCTAAGTGACATCATGCTTGGTTGGAAACCAAGGTTTCTCTGCCTTCTGTCTTTAATAAGCAGCCAAGTGCTCCTGGGAACATACTGGAACCAGGGTGGGCTAGGGCTTTGTGAGTGGTGTGGTTGTTGGTGTAGGCAAAGAAGGCTAGGGAACCTTTCCAATTGACTTCATTTTCCTATTCTGAGTCCTAGGTAATTTGGTATTTGCCAATGTTAAATAATTGTGGAATCTTTCAGGATGTAATGACTTTGTTGTGGGTCCCTTATAGATTACCTCTCTTTCCATTAACTTGCCCAGCCTTTCCTGCATTTACCCACTCATCTTGGTTTTGAGTATTCTGCGTAGATTTCTATCTAATCATGAAATGCGTTGGTAGACGTATTAAAGTTGATTCAGACACAGTTCCTTAGCCCCCCAAATCCACAGCCTCTTCATAAAATAAATAGGAATGAGAACCACACTCAGAGTACAATGGTCGCTTAGAAGAGTTTACAAAGGTAAAAATTTTGATTGTATTTGGTTCCTAAGTCTGTTAACAGTTTTTGATTGTATAATGTCCATTTTAATGCCTACCACTGTGTACAAGGGGGTAGATTCTACAGTTTCATTGTTATTATTATTATTGATATACCACAGAAGCAAAGAAAGGTGCAATTCCAAAGGTCTTTTTCCACAATGTATAACTAAGAGTGACAGTATATCACAATTAATTGGAAGGTTATAAATAATCTTTTCCTTCAAATTATTCAAAGATATAAAGAATGACCATTGTTAAACTCTATCAGTCCTTCTATAAAAGCAGAAACAGTTGCAGCTTATTCTTTTAATAAGCAACATGGTTACTATTTTTGAATGCTTAATAGTAAATTTCTTACCAAAGAATGCTCAGTGGCATTTTTGTCGCCTTCTACACAAAATTTACAATATACAAAGTTGTTTGTTTCTCATTTGCTGTAAAATCTTTCTGTAGCATATTTTGAAACAATGCATGGGAAGTAATACCAAATTTATGTCCAAACATAGCCCTATCGTCACAACATGGAAAGGGTTTTCTTCCTGTTTAAGAGTCTTAGAGTAGAGGGTTTAGCTGATCATAGCAGGAAGCTAAAACCAAGGTAAAGGCAACCAAACACTGCGCGATCAGGAAAATGGAAGGGAACAAAGGTTTTCTGGGCCTGATATCACCCTACCAGAAAGACCTGATATCACCGTACCAGAAAGACCTATAGCCTTCAACCTGCATGACCAAAGGTGAGTGGATATCAGTTTTCCCCTTTTGGGCCACTGTTGATGTAAGAGAGCTCTAGCCTTGACTGTCTCCACTATGGCAATGAATTTGGTTCTTCTATCTTCAGTAAGAAAGACTTCACCAAGTGGATGCTGTGTGGTCAGGCTGGTGTTCAGCTCTCATGAAGTGTGTAGTGTGGTACTCTGGCAGGCTGCCTCTGCCAGGAGGTGGCTTACAATGAAGTCATTTGTCTGTTTCCCTGTGGAGGTCTTGCTGCTTCACTCCTGCTCTGTGCTTCACTTCCAGAAGATCCCATGTCCAACAAAAATTCTGGCCAAGAGTCGGAGTCCATTCCAGAATATACGGCCGAAGAAGAGCGCGAGGACAACCGACTGTGGAGGACAGTGGTGATTGGAGAACAGGAGCAACGGATTGACATGAAGGTCATTGAACCCTACAGACGAGTCATTTCTCACGGAGGTACTCAAGCTCTGTGTGATTCTGAGAAATAGGGAGAGGAAACAAAACCAGAGCTTTCAGTGGCATGACCTCTAAAGAGCCTGTGTGCAGGGGACTCAAACTATTCATTAAAAATTTGAAGTCTTAAGAGGCAGAACCAGCTTTTCAATGTAAAAAATGCTATTCACGTTGCATATCTAATAGCTACAGTTTTGAAGCAAGTTTCTCAAAAGCCACAGGTGTCCAGTGTAGTGATATCTGCAGTCCCTGTGAGTGGTATAGGCTGAACTGAATATTAGGTGCACAGAGCACTGTGACCTGTAGTTAGACCATTGCCTGAGAGAGTCTTCTAATCCTCTTCAAAGCTTTAGCAAATCTTTTTAGACTCGGCCTGGTAGTTATTTCCCCAACCTAAAGTTCACTTTTCTACGAACCATATTGAATGTGGGCCTGACAACAGCCAATCACAGTCAGCCTCCATCTTAGTGAGGGACCCCGGAAAGGGAAAAGTGTGTTTTGTATTTCTGGTTCTTTTCTGGGAGCTCCAGGCACATAAGTAGCTTTGATGAATTTGAGACTCGGAAAGTCAGTTGAGCACAGGCATTGCATTGAACCCCACTGACTTCAGAAAACAGTAGTGGCTGTTTGGCTTTCTGCTGCACGGATTCCTTTCCTGTGGCCCTGAAGCACCTCCCTAACCACCCAGTAAACCAAGAAAGAGTGCAAACGAGGCCCTTGCTCTCTGTCCTCTCGTCTTTAAAGATGGCTAGGAAGTAAGAGTTTTGGCAGTGCTTTATCTATCTATTTATTTATTATTTATTTATTATTTTTTATTTATTTATTTTGCAATGCTGGGGATCGAGCCCATGTGCTTGCTAGGCAAGGGCTTTACCTCTGAGCTGTATTCTCAGCCATTCTTGGCATTGCATTGAATCAGCACATTTGTTTTCTTATGAGCATATGAACATTTTATCTCTATCAACCATTCCGCTCCCAGTAGATCTTTCTTTCCTTTCTGTGCACTGTTACCTTCCATGAGCACCTGGGCCACCCAGGGAAGCTGATTATGATGGAGAAGGAAACCACCCATTGGAGCCCTTGGCCGTGACCTTTCCATTTCCTGCCTTACTGTGTGTGATCTGGAATGGCTGTACAGCTCTGAAATGGGCTCTGTGGGTAGGGGCAGGTCTCTGTGAGAGGAACCGCTCCCTTGGCCCTTTGGAATGATGCTGAGCTGATATTGCTGAGAGTGACAGACAGACAATGTTGGCTGTAGAGTCAGCAGCCTCTTCCTGGGATGAAAAGCAGAACCAGAGCACTCCACAAATCTTCACAGAAGTCTTTTAGTCCTTTGCAGCAGTAGTCTGGTATGTTTGCTTTGGGGCTAAAAACCAACAACAACAACAACAAAAACAAAGATTGACTATGAGAGTAGTCTGTGCTTTCTCTGAAATAGACAGGAAATATAGAAAAGTCTGTCAAGGGTGAATGAAAGTCACCTAGTGATGATGCCTGCCTACACTTTTGCCCTAAGCTCTTTGCTTTAGAGCCTCCATGCTGTGAAAAGTCAAATGCACAGTTTTGCCATCACTGTAAAATCAAACCTCCTTAGTACCTTCACCTACTTATATTTTCAAGTGCAATGAAATCAAGTACACTGGGTAACCTGGTGTCCAAATTGCCCAGATCAGAACATAATGGTCGCCACGTGTGCACTGATAGTCAGAAGCCAGTGTCTCTCTCTGCCTGCTATAATATCTGTAAAATCCATCTGCTATGTCAGGGGCACCTTGTCTGCTGAGCTCCATCCTCTACCCCCTCCCTTTGGTACTTGCTCCCCTCCATGGTGTGTTGTACACTTGGTTTTTGTCTAAGTAACTGTGTTTTTAAGAAAAGGTCACCTCTCCTCTCCTGGTTCTGCCTTGCTCTCCTCCAAGTACTGGGCTGCATGAGTATGCCTCTGGCTGCCCCCTCCCAGCCTGCTATCTGTATGCCACCTCCCCTTAAACGCTGGACAGCTTTTGTGGTATAGGTAAACATGGCTCGGATGTTACTTCTGAATTTGACAAAGCTTGATCTTCCTTGTGGGAAACATCACACACAAACTTTGTGATGTAAAGCATCTTAGTTCCCAATTGAGTTTGTAAGCCTGGTTTCTAACAAGCCATTTAAAAGCAGACTGCACAGTAGACACAGGTCTTGCTTCAGTGCTTCCTGTTCTCTCTAAGGACATTTTCCCCATCAGCCCAGAAAGGAAGTACTCAAGGGACAGTGTTCAGGACAGGAAACTTCAAGGTAGGGGCAGCAAAAACACTGCATAACTGGGCCCAAAGTCAGATGCTGCCAAGTGTTCACAGCTGTGTTTGAACCAATAATCCAATCTTCAGATTTGGTGACCTCAACATGAATCAGAGGTCCTGTGCACAGTTCAGAAGTTGAGTTCAAGACTTCTTTACACTGACCTTGGTACATGCCTTTCTTCTCTGGGCCTCAGTTACTCCATCAGCTGAATGAGGATTGAAGCCCGTGTTCATATGCTATGGTGCCATGACCAATATCCTTGCCATCTGCTGAACCAAAAAAAAAAAAAAAGCAAAAACTTTGTGTGTGGTTTTGCACAGCCAACAGTGTGGGGTCATGTCCAATCCACAACTGGATTATTTTGAACTCAACAGAAAACAAACACATTTGAATAACCAAGGACAGTCACACCAAAGAATGTTAATGAGTAGTTTCCTTTCTTGTTTTCTTTTTACTTCTCTTATTTCACTCTAGGAGACTCAGGTAACCTTCTCTGCAGTGTTGCTGGACAGAGCCTGGAAAGACTGAGTAGAAGAGTTGCTGGCTGGTGTGTGTGTGTGTTCTGTTGCCTGTCACATCTTTCCTTCTCTCTCCATCCCATTTGCTGGCCAGCAAACTTGTGTTACATCCCTTTCATGCCTGTCTGTGCCACATCAGGTAAGGTCTACAGTCTCTGCTCCAGAGAGTCTCAGGAGGCTCATGGTGGGATTGCTCATCACCTTCCATCCACCTCTTACTCAGTGAAAAGTGAGTCTGACAAAATAAATATTTTAAAAACCAAACTCTATGCCTGGCCTGTAATTCCAACTTACTTGAAAGTTTGAGGCAGGAGGATTGAAAGCTTAAGGCTTATCTGGGATACAGAGCACATTCAAGACCAACCTGAGCAGCTTAGTGAGAACCTGTCTCCAAATAAAAAGTGAAACTAAGGCTGGGGATGTATCACCCATATGGCCTTTATCTAGCCTGTGCCTGGACCTAGATACAATCCCCAGTACAAACAGACAAATAAACCAAAGTCTCTATGAACTTTGCCTGAATAAGTGGGGTAGAAATTAAGGTGTTAGTTGGCCCCACACAGCTTTTGTATGGAGGATCGAAAAGCAAATGGGGCACTGGAGAGATGGCTCAGCAGTTAAGAGCACTGGCTGCTCTTGCTGAGGACCTGGGTTCAGTTCCCAGCACCCACACGGTGGCTAACAACTGGCTGTAACTCCAGTTCCAGGGGATCTAACACCCTCTTCTGACCTCCACGGGTATTGCAGGACAACACGGGTACATATACATGCAGGCAATACACTCATACATATAAAATAAAAATAATAAAATGTTTTTTAAAAGCAAACAGGCCTCCTCATTCTAGTTATCACTCCTGTTTTTGTGTTGGGTTTGAGACAGGTCTTAGCTATTCTGCCAGGTGGCCTTGAACTCACAATCCTCCTGCCTCAGCATCCCAAGTGTTGGGATTACCAGCATATGCCACCAATCCTAGCTGACCAGCAATTATTTTTCAAGTCTCTTCACAGCCTGAGTACAGAGACATGAGTTAGGGATCAGTATGGAAATCCTCTTCCGTTTCCCTTCTTGACTCACTTCCTCTCTCTTGCTGTCTTCTCTTTCCTTTGCCTCTTCTCTTCTTATAGCTTCTCTGCCCAAAATATCAAGAGCCATCTTCAATTGTAAATTTCAGCAACTTGTGTACAGACATATTCCTTGCTTAGACAGCAGCCACTGTATACTGCAAAGAGTATGAGGCCACAGCGTTCTAAGCACTTAACATTTCCTAGGAATTCCCAGAAACAGAAAAAGAAATCAAAGTAACTGAACAGTCATGTTCTTGATGATAGTCTGACCCCTGGAGCTGACAGCTACATTCAGAAGGATGTGTTCGTGCTGGGTTCTTGTTGGCTTCACGAACTGTGTCTTGTAATGAACGCTCGTGTTTTCCAGTTGTCCAAATTGCTGTCTTCATGTTGTTTGCTAGTCCCCCACATCTGTTGTGGATTTCCATTTACTTGGGAATCTTTGGAAATGAAATTTTTTGATGGAACAAGAACTTCTTGCATAAAAATACGTATCTTGAGGTTTCCTTCATATTCACATTCTAAAAAGAAGTTGATAAATATCTACATATTGGAAAAGCTGGAAGCAGAAAATCCAGGGTGAAGCTGATGTAATTCTCTGTCAAAAATGTCTTCTGCCAGGTGGAATGTTGACATAGGTAACATCGTATATGTGCTATAAACTGTGTGCAGCACACCAAATTAGTCATGCACACAAGCCCACAGCTGACTAGATTTCAGACTGTTTCACTTTTCCCTATTTTGTTATGTTAGGGTCATAATTTGTGTCTTTCTAGAGAGCGTCTTATTAAACTGACCCTCAAGAGCTAACCCGTACAAACCTATAGCTGGTTGGGATTTTATTGCTATGTAATTGCCAGAGTGATAGTTACAGTTCTGAAAATGAACAAAATATGCTGAGCTCTGGGAGAACTGGATCAGGCATAAGGATGTATCCTGCCATCCTGCACAAAGTGTTGAGGGAATCTCTGTAATGATTCTGAAACCCAGAACAATATGATAAAAGTCACAAATATTTAACTACAGGATTTAATGGGCTGGTGGAATGGCTCAGTGGGTAGAGGCATTTATTGCCCAATGACCTGAGTTTCATCCCTAAAACCTACATAGCCTACATGGTAGAAAGAGAGAAACAACTCCTGCAAATTGTCCTCTGACCTCCCCATGCATGCTCTCACACACACACACACACACACACACACACACACACACACACACACTCACAATAAAATAAATAAATAAATAAATAAATAAATGCTTTAAAAAATTTAAGTGGGATCTGGTAGCACAGGCCTTCAATACTGCCTACTCAGGAAGCTGAGACAGGAGGATTGCAAGTTCAAAGGTCCACCTAGGCTGCAGAGTGAGTTCAAGATCGGCATAGGTGACTTAACAAGACCTTGTCTCAGTGGTTGCTAGCATACTGGAGACCTTTGGTTCATCTCCAGGACTGCAAATAGGAATACTTAAAAATTATCAAGGCTAAGGATAGCTCAGTGGTAGATCATGTATCTCAGTGGTTTAGCATGTGTGAGGCCCTCAGTTCAATCCCCAGTACTTCCTCTTCAAGTATCAAAGACACATTTCATTTCTACATACATCTCTGGGGAGTTGATCAGCACCTGCCACTGGTTTCAAAGATGAGCTCTGAGGAAACATAATGGAAAGATGGGACAATGCTGACATTGTATCAGTGATTTCAAAAGATGGGAAACATGTTCTGAGATGTAGCTATCTGTTCCTTGGCTTTAGAGTTTCAATGGCGGCATTTACTCACATTGGGTAGGTCCTATTTCTCAGCTCCACCTGCAAAGAGCATTTCCGCCTCCTACCCATCTCATTAGGAAGTAATTCTCAAGTTTTCCCAAATGCGCCTATTTTCATAGACTCAAAGGTAGTTTAGTAGATTCTTTTTGAGAATGCCCCTTTCGATGAGAGACAGGGAATGCCGTGCTATTATCCTGGGCCTGGCTAGAAGATGTCATGTACCCCTGCACTGCTTGAGTTCAGAGAACCAGGAACACTACAGCAAGTGCGTAGACCTAGAAGTCAAAATAAAGGCATTTTTCATGTCCCCCTGGTCACTGGAGTACATGGGTCTGGAATTGTATTGCAGTTCAGTAACTAAATTCTCCCAATTAAATAGATTTAATCTAAAGAGAGTTAAAAGGGATCAAATAGAACCTCTTCTCCAGCCATGAGAATTAAGAAGTATTAGATAAATTAGCTTTTTTGTGTAAATTAGTATTGTATAAATTAGAAACTTATGAGTGAAAGCATCATCTTCTTTGGTAATATTTACACATGACATTCACAAGAACCTAAAATCACCCCATTTCTGTATAAATAGCCTCACATTATATATTAAGATTATATGTTAATCACTAAAAGATACACACATACACACACACACACACAGAACTTCCCTCAGTATACTTATACATGATCTATCTATCGTATTCACACACACATTTCACAAGCTTCAGATTCCTCCTTTAGAGGTAATACTATCTTGTAAAGAGATTTTACTCAGTTACACACATCTTTTTGTTTGTCCCCAGGATACTATGGAGATGGTCTGAATGCCATCATTGTGTTTGCTGCCTGTTTTCTGCCAGACAGCAGCCGGGCGGATTACCACTATGTCATGGAAAATCTTTTCCTGTGAGCAATGATTGGGTTAATGTTTATGGGCCGGTGGTGACTTATAGAGCATCGTTAACTGGGTGGGAAATGCTGTAGAATGCCCTAAGCCAGTAAGATTTCTGTCAAGGAGCATTGCTCTAGAGAACGCTACCAGTAGAATGTATGGAAAACAAAATGGGCTGAGTTTGGCATGTGTTTAAAACTCTCGTAACATTTCCTTTGAGCAAAGTATTGTTTTTGTTCCTTATAATATGTTCTTTACCTGACTTCATTTATTTTTACTTTGTTTAATCTGAGTTGCCCTTGATGCTTGATAACGCTGTTGACATTTTTAAAAGTCAGGTTTTAAACTCACAATTTTTTGAGGATACCTGCATTTTTAAAAATTAGATAACCATCCAAATAAATGAGCAATGCTCACTCTCTGAGAAGTGATCGTAGGTAACTACATCATCCTCAAGGTGAAGAGATAACGTGCACAACTATTCTTAAGTGTCACTCGCCCTGTAATTCGAATGTGGAACTGAAAACACTCCTCTTCCTTCCTGTGGTCAGATACGTAATAAGCACTTTAGAACTGATGGTTGCCGAAGACTACATGATTGTGTACTTGAATGGTGCCACCCCAAGGCGGAAGATGCCAGGGCTAGGCTGGATGAAGAAATGCTACCAGATGATTGACAGACGGTATGTGGGCACCACTATTTAATCACTGTTTTAACTCCTTCAGTAGCTCCCATTATTTAATACTTTAATACTACCAAAAATACAATAGTTTCATAGGGACATTGAATTATGATATGTGAAGCTATAAATTGTAAAAATACAAATCAAAATATCACATGATACCTTGAAGTGGAAGTAGCAAATCTTCCCTAGATTTCGTTCACTGTAGCCTCAAACCTGGCAGACCTAGTCCATCCTAAATGTCTGGTGTGCTGTTGCAACTTGAGTGAGCAAACCAAGATGCCCGTGTGCTAGTGTTTCAGCATCGGTGCAAGTTCCAGTGTGCTAGCCCAGCACTGCCTTTGCGTGCCCCTCCTCAAGATACTTTACCTCTGCTCAAACACTATATTGTCATGTTCAGGAAAATTAGGAAATAGAACCACAAGTTTATGGTATCTAGTATGTATTACACTCCCTTAGATGGGGCCTCTTTCAAAATGACATGAGCATGTCCAGTTGTATTTGATTACAGTCTGTTTTAAGATCCAGCAATAAAGAATTGCATTGCTAATGCTGAAAAATGGGTCCCAAGTAAAGAATTATAAAAATGCTAAGTTTTCTTTATATAATGGTAAGGCTTAGTAAGACCAAATAAATTGTCTAGGGGTTGCAGGTGTATCTCAACTGGAAGAAAACTTACCTAACATGCATGAGACCCTAGGTTCCATCCCCAGCAGATACTTGTAATCCCAGCACTCAGAAAGTGGAGGCAAGAGAATCTAAAGTTCAAGGTAATCCTTAGCTACATAGCCAGTTTGAGGCCAGCCTGGGCTATATGAGACACTGTCTCAAAAACAAAAACAATGAACAATTAATAGTCTAAGTATAAAATTAGTAGTTCAAAATAAAGATAATGCTTAGAAAGTGAAGAGCGTCATTAAAGAAAAATATGCCACAATGCTTAGAAGCTTATACAATCTAAGAGTATCACAGTTCTTTTTTACATTTACTCCTGTGGAAAACAAAATTTGCATCACACAAGTTTCAAATTATGTCAAAAACCATTTTGGGGGTTGGGGAGATAGCTTAGTTGGTGAAGCGCTTATCATGCAAGCATGAAGACCTGAATTTGAATCCCAGCGCTCATGTAAAAAGCTAAGCTAGTGTGCAAACAGAGACAGGGAGCCTCAGGTCCCAGCGAGACACTCTGCCTCAGAGAAAAAAGTGGATGGTTCCTGAGGAGTGACACCTGAGATTGGCCTCCACAGGAACACACACACACACACACACACACACACACACACACACACACACAAAACAAACAAGAAGCATTTTTTAAATCAATTGTGACACTCTATATATCAAAAATAACCTTCCTAGAACTCCCTAAAATTGCATGTATTTTTATTAGGGAATTTATTTCTTGTTTTAATTCCTACTGAGAGTGTGTTAATGGTAATATATAATTGCTTCTTTTTCAAAATAGACTGCGCAAGAATTTGAAGTCATTCATCATTGTTCATCCATCTTGGTTCATCAGAACAATCCTTGCAGTGACTCGACCTTTTATAAGGTATTGCTATGTCAGTAGCCTAAGTACTACATGTAGTATTTTGTAAGTATGCAAACTATTCTTTAAATAAGAATTTGTAAGCTAAGAAAATCCAGGAATATTTAATTTGCCTCTACCTTTCCTGGAAAGATCATTGGACTTTTTAAAGGGCCAGGTGCAGTGGCACCTTCCTCTAATCTCAACATTTAAGAGGCCAAGGCAGAAGGAATACAAATTTGAGGCCATTGGGTTACGGAATAAACTCTGCCAGGAAAAAAAGTGACAACTACTTCATAATAAATATTTTCTCCTCTCCATTGCAAAACCTCGCCTCTAAATTGCTCCCTGTAAGTATAAAATAGGAAGTGATGAGATTCCTATGCTATGTCATAGGAGGATTAGCCAGTATTTTTAAAGAGACATATTATTTTGTACAAAGTAGAATAACCTGAGTAGAGAAGATGAGAACTAAGCAACGATGGGAACTTTGAGGCATCATTTCTTCTGAGCAAACACCATATAGGCACCAAAATTGGGTAAAGAATCTGGGCAGCAATGCTGAGAGTTATATTAGGATCAAATGGCAGGTGGATCTCTATGAGTTCAAGGCCAGCCTGGACTACATAGTGAGTTCCAGGACAGCTGGGGCAACAATAAGACCCTGTCTCAAAAAGACAAAAAGAAAAAAAAAGATTCATTGTTTCAATTCTGTGATTATTCAACACTTTATTTGACTTAGGTGTTATATTAATTTATATTTGGGGATGTAAAATTTAAAAATGGGGGCTAGAGAGATGGCTCAGCAGTTAAGAGAGCATACTGCTTTTGCAGAGGAGCCAAGTTCAGTTCCCAGTACCCACATCAGGTGGCTCACAACCACCTGTAATTCCAGCTCCAAAGAATCTGACACCATCCTCTGGCTTCCATGGGCACCTGCACTCACATGCACATACTCACACGTAGACACACACACTTATTCATAATTAAAAATTAGTTTTAAAAATACTTTATTTGTTATTTTTATTTTACGTATATGAGTGTATTGCCTGCATGTATGTAAGTGCACCCATGTCGTGAAATGCCTGCAGAGGTCAGAAGAAGGTGTTGGATTCCTCTGTAACTGTAATTGTGGACAGTTGTTAGCTACTATGTGGGTGCTGGGAATCAAATTCAGGTCCTCTGCAAAAGTAGTTAGTGCTCTTATCTGCTGAGCCATCTCTCCAGCCCCAATAAAAATAATTTTAAAAAGAAAATAAGATATGGTTCCTAATATAGTAAATCTTGAAAGACTTAAATGAAAGGAATGGTATTTTCCAGAAAGCTTAAAAATATATGATAGAATAAAGTCTTGCATACCATCAAGATGATAGATAAATTTTCCTGCTTCAAAGTTATGAGTGAATTTCTCATGAAAATTCTAATAATTACTGGAGAAAGTAAATGTTAAAAATCCTCTCTCTCTCTCTCTCTCTCTCTCTCTCTCTCTCTCTCTCTGTGTGTGTGTGTGTGTGTGTGTGTGTGTGTGT